AAAAAAACTGATTTATTTCAAGGTAACGATTTATTAAATAACTTTTAAAAGGACATAACAAGTTAATATATTGCAGAAGTTTACTTTTTTAAATGGTATGACTCAAAACAATGGGTGTGTAGTGCAATGTTACATCTCTTGCATATGAAAGAACTAGGCTTGTGGCACAATTTGCATCTCCATTTTTTATTATTTTCGATTTTCACAATGAGGTGCTGTCCGGCAAGTCTCGGGATATTTTGAGGATGACTATCCTTTGAAGATCCTGGTAAATAATCAAGGTCACTCTCTTCGTCTTCTGCGGCGTTTCCGACGTCTTCATCATCAGCGGTCATTATAAGAGAATAAGCAATTTGCACACGGAAGTCTTTCTGATGCAGGATGCTTTTCTTATAATATCGACGAGAAAAACAGTCAAGTTTCCATGCGTTCACAACAGCAGAATTTAATAGAGAAATCCATAAAGGCCAATACCATTTTTTGGATCGAATCGCAATGTAATGGTTCTGGGCGGCATTGTCGTGAAGATCCACTCCACCCATACCCATATTATAATTTTTAAGTAGCTGATGCTGGTTGTAGTTTGCATATCCTCCAGGTTGAACAATTTCCCCACAAGCGCTTACTTTTTGCTTCTTCCACCTTTTTACAGGCACCATTGGCATGATTTGTTCGAAGTTTGTGGCAATCGTAACCTCGCTATTGTCCTGCCAACGACAAACCAAAATCTTATTGTTGTTATCAAATTGGTAGTCATGATTGCCCCTCTCTAATTGCTTTCCAGTTTTAAGTTGTGCACCTCCAATACGATTTGCCCGTACGGTGCCAGTTGCGCAGAATCTTTTCTCAGATAATAGGCACATTAAGTAGTAGGACGTAAAAAAATTGTCAAAATATACCATATGACGACTTGGATACCCAACATTTTCCAGCAAGCGTAAAACCACATCTGCTCCCAATCCAACCTGCTTGTCGTATTTATCGGCTGCTCCAGCATATGGTATACAATTATAAAGGTAGCCAGAAGCCGAACACAGACACCACAATTTGTAGCCGAAACGAATGGGTTTCCCACGTATGAACATTTTGCAAGAATGACGTCCAAAGTATGGAACCATTTGTTCATCGATTGAAAGCTTCTCCTCCCAAACACCAAATTGCATAAATTTTGCGTTCATAACTTTATACAATGGTCTTACCTAAGTAAACAGAATACAGTTTATAAGCAAATCATACAAAATGAAAATAACTTGATTAAAGTACCTTAGCCATTTTATCTGTCGAATCAAGATTGTAGTTGTTCCCGAAATGGATGAACCTCTTGATATCTTGAAAACGATTCCTGGACATGCATACTTTCACGATAGGTACTCCTAATGTTGGGTTTGTTGACCAATAGTCAAGAGTTGTCGGCAAAGTATGATATCCTGATAAAATTAAAATACCAAGAAATCGCTTCAAAGCAACTTGATCAATGCGAAAGTGTTCGTTTTTCTGCTGAGCATATCTACTTGTTTCTTCGATAATCATGTCAAGGACTTCGTTATCAAAAAAGAGTGAAAACAATTCCAATGGGGTTTTGCTTTGGAAGGTTTCTGCCAAGTTTTTTTTAACATCATCCAATGGCTCGGTTGTAGGGGAAATATCATATTCGAATGTCCCGTCACGGTTTTTTCTCTGCACCCACTTGGGCTTACTAAAAGCTGATAAGGGCTTATATTTTTTAACTGGTGTTTCATTTGTCTCAATTCGCTGCCTTTTGGAGGGATTTTCTGAGGTAGATGGTGTTGTATCTGACGAAATTTCGATACCAGTGACGTTATCTTCTTCGATATGGTCATTTTGATGTATATAGTCTCCTGTAGATTTTTCAATCGTATCTAGCTCAAATGTTCCAGCACATTCCACTATATCTTCGCACTATTAAATAGATTATTTAATATTAAAACAAAAGAAAAAATACTTATTAGAATAATTCAAAGCTCGTCAGAGAAGTGTTACACTTACTTCACCCATAGTTATTACATCATCATCAAAATCTTCTTCATCGGTATTTTCGTCAACTTTTTCCGGTGGTACAATTGTAACTGTAGCAATTTCAGTTTCATCGTCACTCCAGTCTTCAATAATAGCCATTACTTCATTTTTAGTAAGAGCTCGACGACGAAGGGATCTAGCACACTGTTTTTTCCATTTTTTAATCACACAATTTTCCACTTTCTAATTACAAATTGCTTCGACTAAACAAGTTCACTGAACCGCACACTTATTCATACTAAATTTGAACACGTGCTTTTAGTTATTCCGACTAAAATATTTCTACGCAATTGAACAAACGGTAAATAGATTTCATATTGCAACCGAATTCAAAGAGGAAAAAAAATGCTGAGTTGTGCCCAGCGTTCGATTAATCGAACACCTAACTTCACATACATACAGGGACCGTTATATTAAATTTGCAAACACGAAAACTATCAAAACGAAAACTTCAGTTCATTCGCAGCAAAACCTTATACCAGGTTCTCATATTTTCTAAATCTCTTTAATTAAAATAATTCTTTTAAAAATATGCTAAAATTAGTGAGTTTTTATTATGCTCTGTGCTAAGATTGGGTGATGGTCAGAAAAAATAATTGTTCGTAATAATGTAGAAAACACTCCAAACCAACATAAAACGTCATAATTTCGTATCTCACTTTTAAATAAAACCCCTGAAAAAAATTGCAAAAAACAGTAAAAATTACTGTTCGATTATTCGAACAATGGGACGATATGGGTTAATTTATTTATTTTAAGGAAATAGTACAACGATACGATTTCATTTTCTTTTCCTTTTTGCTTCTACAAACAGTACATTTCCGCACAATTATATATATTTTATTTTGCTTTTAAACTTAAAATTTATTGTTGTAAAATTTGGATAGGTACTGCACAGCTCCTGATTTTTTATTGTTTTCAAACGCCATTCTGGGTATGTAGTTTGCTTCTTCTACCATTATAGATCTGCACTCTAATGTTGGCGGATGTACTTTCAACGTACTACCAATATAGAAGTAGTACATATGTATATGAATAAAAGGTTTGCTCACTAGTGAGATTAGCAGGGAACGGATTTTATGGAAATTGCCTTTTTTCTGCTAAAGAAATAGAGTATATTCGATTAAGAATGTCCACGGTTTAGCTTTCCTGATTGCATATATACACATTTGATGTTGCCTTTTTTAAGATATTTGCTTTTTTTTTGCCTATTGTACCTTTAAAAAAGTTATTATAGCGAGGAAAAAGCGCTTATTCCTGATAATATAAAAGTTTCAAACGTTCCATATTTAAGTTGGGCGCCACTGGTATCAAGTCACGTCGAGCGCACGTTTAATCCGGTAACTTGCCATTGCCTGTTGAATGGCGACTGTTGTCAGAAAAAACATCCAAGTTAATGGAACCAGGAAATGACCTTTAGTTTGGACTGAATTTTTTATATTTTTTACGCCTATTCAAGAAAGCAGCAGCACCTCCTAACATTTAAATTAATAAGGAACCTTTTAAAAAAAGAATAATCGAAATCGGGTGAGATTTGAAGAGTAGGCCGTTTTTTGTCACAAGGATTTTTCCCATTATGTGCCCGTGGATAATACGCTCAAATAAGACACATTAAAAAGGGAAATAAAATTCGGTCGGAAAGAAAAGTTCTTTACGTTCCTTTAGTTCATAATAATAATAATATTTAACCGCTTAAATATAAGCGTAACGGCAACGCTGGACACAGCTGCAAATTAGAAAATAAAAACAAAAATGTTTACGCCTTGTCGCTTATACGAAAATATTTGAATTGGTGGAAAACAGAATAAATTCGACCGCCGAGCAAGAAATATTGATTTTTATTCATTTTAATCGGCCTCTACCATAGAATTTTTATGCATACAAAGTCCAGAAATCTAAATTCAAAATTCAAACAAAAATTTGGTGCTTTTTTCGAGAAAAAACCGCGATTTTTATTGGGTTTTTGTCCTTTTCTAATTCAAAACTTGGCAACACTGATTAGAGTTTTGACACTCCCTTACAGAAGGTTGCTCACAGACACAAACCTATACACAGTGCCTTGCTCAGGGAGCCGATTTTGAGAAGAGGTAGCGAGAAAACTGTTTTCTGTGCAAACCTTTTATTATTGAATCATGGGCGAAACCCGGAGTTATAGTCTGGTTCAAAAATTTTCGAATGTCTGTTGTGCTGCAGCCATATATGTAACAACCCTATATTGGCAGTAACAGCTAGTACCGTCCGAAAACATTACACTACAGATATATAAATTCGACATTTGGGATCTAGTTCGCTT